CTGTCGCCTTTTTCATTTTCATTTTTCTTTTTACCTCTTTTACTTCTCTTTCTTTAATTTCTTCACCTTCCTCTCCTACGCTGTCTTCGTTTTCTTCCCCTTTGCTTTCTTCCTTTTCTTTCTCTCCCAATTGTTCCTTGAAGTGCTTTATCCATTCTTCTTTTCCTATATTTTCATCTAATCCAATTCTTTTCTTCCTATTGCCATTCACTTTATCCCAGAATTTCTTCTGCCACTATTTTCCCTTCATCTTCTTTTGCTTTTCTTATTTCCTCTCTGTATTCACTCTTTGCTTCTAACTATTTGTCTCTGTCTCCTTCCCCTTTTCTTACCTTATTTAACTCTGCCATCACCCTATCCCTTTTTGCCTTACATTTTTTTCTTCACCATCTTTTTTTTTATCCTCTTTTTTCCTTATCTGCTGGTCCCAGTTATAGTTTTCCTTCTTCTCATGTTGCATATACACCGATGCTATCATGTATTCCTTTACTCCGATCTTTATTTCTCTTACTATTACCTCACTTGTCCTTTCTTTCTTCCATTCAACCTTACTCATCCCTTTTCTCTCTCTTACCACCATTCTTCCTCCCCCTATTTCTCTCCCCCTTCTTCCTTCCCTTCTTGAGTCCCTCCACTCTATGCTGTACCCTTTCAGTTGTTTCTTCACACTAGTTCTTGCCCCTTGTCTCTTCCCCCAGGTTTCCGTTAGCCATATTATGTCGAATTCCCTAAAATATTCCCAGTCATCTTCCTCCATGCCTCTCACCCCCGCCACGTTGCAGAATAGTATTTTTACTACCTTTCTCCCCTCTCTCTCCCTTCTCTCCTCTCTCTCTCTCTTTTATTTCTATTGTTTTCGAAACCCTTCCACCCCCTTTCCTACCATTTTTCCCTCTCTCTCGCTCCACCACCATTCTTGTTCCTTTGACTTCACCCAGTTATGTCTAGTCCCGATCTACGTATATCTTTTTCTGTGCCAGATTCTTTTTCTTCTTCATAATTCCTTCTTTTTGTTCCCATAAAGCGCATCTAATTTGCCACATGTTTTTCCTTCTTTCTCTCCGATCATCCCTCTCCGCTGTTCCTTCTATTCTTCTCAGATTCACTATCTCTCCTTTCATTTCTAGTACCTCCCTTAACATGACCTCTGCCTCTCCCTTCTTTTCCCATCTTAACTCACCCTCTATGTCTGTCACTATTAGATTGTTTATCCTACTTTCTCTATCCATTTTTTCTCTCATATGCTCTAATTCTTCCTTATTGCCTACTTCTGTTTCTCTTTGCTTCTTGTTCCCTCCTTCTATGCTTTCTTTTAGTTTCACGCACTCCTCTTCCAACTGGTCCATCCTATCTCCCCATTTTTCCTGCAGTTTCTTTTCTCTACGTTCTGCTTTTTCCCTTTCTTCATTCGTCTCTTTCTTTCTTTCTTCTCTCTCTCTCTCTTGTTCTTTCCTAACTTTTCCTATTTCTTTCTCCCATCTTTCTTCTCTTCTTTTCCCCTCTGCCTCCATTCTTTCCATATTTCCCATTATTTCTTTAAACACTTCTGTCCATTCTTTCCTTTACTCCTCCCATACCTCTCTTAATTCCCTTATATCTGTCCGTATCTTTTCCATTATATCTTCTTCACCACTACTTTTTCCCACCTTTTCTTATCGTGTTGTCCAATCCTTCTCCCCTCTCCCCATCCATCTCGCTTCCCTCGCTCTCACTCTTACATCTCTTTGCCTCTCTCATTTCTCCTCTAATATTCTCCCTCAGCCCCTCCCCGCTCTCTCTCCCCCTCACCACCTTTACTCTTTTCTTCTTTTCCTCCTCTGGTCCTTTCTTATCCAACCTTCCACCTTTATCTCTTAATTTTTCTGTTGTCACAAATCTTTCCATCCTATCCCGTACGCCTTAATTCGACTCACTATATCTACTCGTGATCCCACCTTTATTCCCTGTCTTACCTTTTCTGTCTCTGCCTTTACTTCTTACCGCCCCTCCTCGCTGCCTGCCTTTCCCGCTTTCTGATTTTCTCTCTTAACCTCAACTTTTATTTTTTTTCTTTATTCCTCTCTCTCTGCTTTTTCCTGCTCTTCTCCAGGCCTCTCTCTCTCTCTTCTCCACTCCTCCTCCGCCTCCACGCTCTTTTCACCTCTATTTCTCTCCTCAAACACTTTTCCTCTTTAACTTTCTCACCAAAACTCGCGCTCACATCCATGACACGTCTACACTCCCCTCGAGTGAAATCTAACCTCTTCTTAAGAATTTTATATATAATTTTATTTTTTATTTCACATGAATTATCTATTTTAATCAATTTTTGATCCTTTTTAATTTCTTCCATATTTACAGTTTGCTATTTTTATCACAGATTTATTTACAGAATTTTCATGTGACTCTAAAACTGGATTTCGTGACAAGCAATCAGCCTCTAAATTGTCTTTCCCAAGATTGTATATAATGTCGAAATCAAATTGCGATATGTAATTTAATATATCTATCAATTGTTGGTCATTACTGTTTTTTTATTAAAATTCTCTAGTGGTCTATAAGCTGTAAAAATTACAAATTTTTTTCCTATTAAATAGTATTGCCAATAGAGATTTGCTTTTTTTATAGCTAGACATTCGATGTAAATGGCTTTCTTTGTTTTCTGTGTCTTGTTTAATTTTTTTGAAAAGTAAAAAATTGTTTTTAGCGAATTATCTTCCTGCGGTTATTTTAATATAGCACCTAAACGTAATATACTGTCTTGATTCCCTTATGATTTGTTTAAATGATAAATTTTGTAATGATGGAAAGAAGGGAAATAGTGATAGATGGAAAATCACTTAATTTTAATTATATTCAGCAACGTTTTGTCAGCACATTTGCTGACCTCTTGAGGCTTTATCAATAAAAAAAACAACAACAAATTATTAACAATAGAGTTTTCACAAGTAATTTTAAAAGTATATAATTATAAATATATGTCTATACCTGATTTCTCTCGTAGTTAAATTATTATAGGCTAAAACGAATAAATCGTAGCACAGTCAAAATTAAAGTGAGAAATCAAGTATTTCAACTCATATACATACTCTTCATCTATTGTCCCTTCTTCATCGATCTTAATAAAGGCTTATAGGTGTGACTAAGATATTGTATATCCTCTTTTCTATTTAACGTATTTTTATGTACGCCAATGTGTACAATATCTTAGTCACACCTATAAGCCTTTCTTAAGATCGATGAGGAAGGGACAATAGATGAAGAGTATGTATATGAGTTGAAATACTTGATTTCTCACTTTAATTTTGACTGTGCTACGATTTATTCGTTTTAGCCTATAATAATTTAACTACGAGAGAAATCAGGTATACACATATATTTAAATTTTTATCTTGATATAATTTAAACTTTTTTATCAAATCTAAACCCATTAATATATTTTCATTAAAAAATTGTTATTCACTATAAAAAATGAAAAATTTTCTTGTATGTTACCAATTTTTACTTTTAACTCAACAATACCCTCAGATTTTGTTACTCCGTTTATGCCTTTTATTTTTGTTTTCTCACTCCTAATTTTATCTACATTATTTAACTTGTTCAAAAATTTTTGATCAATTAATGATATACTAGAACACCATAGCGTGCTTCGCGCGCCAAAATTATATTACATAAAAATGTTTGAATAATACGTTAATTATACTTAAATGTGGTTTCTAAGCTCTGCATAAATAGCAGGTCACATGTTCATGTAGGTTATTTTTCATGATACAATTCTGTGTAAACATAATTTTTAACCATTAAATTCTGTCTTTGGTTTCCTAAATAAATTTTTAATGAATCCCATGATCTTACTCTGGACATAACGACTTACAGTTGACCGTGATTAAAAACATCTCTTCGAAGGTCGATTCCAATTTTTTTTAATGTTTGTCCTTGAGCTTTATTAATAGTTATAGCAAAAGCTAATCGAATAGGAAACTGTCGTCTCTTAAAAGTGAATGGATATATATTTTCACAATACAATGTAATTCTATTAAGGAATATTATATTGTTAGACTTATCTCCAGTTAATATTTTACATTGTAATAAATGATTTGAAAAATCAATTATTTGTAATCTTGTTCCATTACATAATCCTTCACTGATACTTATATTCCTGACTAACATTACTATGCAAAATTTTCTTAAGCGTAATTTATGAGGAGGAAAGTTCGGTGGGTTTAATGAATTAAAATATTCAGGCAGAAGGACAACTTGCATTTCACCATTGTCACAGTTTTCTGTGCTGTCAATACCAGTGTATATGTGTTCAGTTGTTTTATCTAATAAATTAGTAACTTTCATATTCATTTCATCTACATCGGCATTTCTAGCTGACAGAATAGCACAGTGACTGATATTAAATTTCTTATCTTTAATTAATTTACCGAAAATATTTTGAACAATACATTCATTTACAGGAAGTATACTTTTTCTGGGAGTTGTAGATTATTGTTGTCATTATTTAATGTTCCATTTCCAACGTGCAACAAATATTTAGCAAATTCAATTTCATGAGGTAAAACCCTCATATTTGTTTTCAACTAAAATTTAGAAAAAAGTGGCCATAAATGACTGTTTTTGAGAGATAAATCTAATATTTCACTACGTGTTCCATGAACTTTGATTGGAAGCAGCTGTCTAAAATCTCCATCCAAAATCATTATTTTCTCACCACATGGAAGATCGTTGTTTATTACATATTTCAATGTTCTGTTGACATTTTCCAAAGCATATCTCGGGGCCATTGGTGCTTCATCCCAAATAAATACTTTGGTATGTTTCAAAAGCATACCTTCTTGAGATTGTATTTTGATGTTTGAAGATGAATCATGGAACATAGGAACTGGTAAACCAAAAGTTTTATGAACTGTTTTGCCGCTAGGTAGTAATGTTGCAGCAATACCTGTGTATGCCATTGCAGAACATTGAATGTTCTCTGACATTAAAAGATTGTAAATTGTAGTATAAACAAAAGTTTATCCAGATCTCCCTTGTCCATGAATATAAAAGCAGGTTGAGCCCTCATAATTCTCTGAGCGTGATGCCTCAAGAATATTATCAACTATTTGTTTCTGCTCTGCATTTAATTTTTCATATTGTTGGTTGCCAATTTCTAGTTGTCTGTTTTCGTCACTATTATTATTATTTACAATTATATGAACTGTAACATTTTGATCCATTGATGGAAAATCAGCCAAACTTTTGCCTTCTTTAATTAAAAAATTATTTATTTCAGCATAAGCCATTTGATAATTTATATCCAAGTCATTGTTACGTGAAAAATCTTCAGACAGTGAATCTTTAAATGTTTCCCATAATTTTTCAGGATAAGTTGGTTGACAGTGAATTAATATACGAACAAATAAATTTCTCAGACACTGAGGCATCATCCAAGACACAGCTTCTCTCATAGCTTTATTCCATACCTCGTCATCTTCAATAATTCCTAATGCTAGGCAGGCTGCCGTGAAAGAAGAATGTAGTACATCATCTACAGTTCGCAAATCATTGTAATTTGTGGCACCTTTGACATATAATAATAAAAATCTTAAATGAAATAATTCAACATTTGTAGGGCTTACAGAATATATGCGTCCGATTTAATTAAAGTGTTTTTGCCTAGTTCGCCATGATGAAATCATTTGGCCATTAACTTTTTCTTTTTTGTATGTAAAATGTTTCGGAATTTCATTGTAGTAATACTGTCTTGCTTTATCATTAGTTGCATTTAAACTGAAGTGATCAAGTAACATACTACTTGAATTATTTAAGTGTGCTAATAGTGATAATTCATCTTCATTTTGTGTAATAATCACTGATTGTTCATTAGGTAGATGTATTGGTAATCTTGAAACTGAATGACTTTTATCTTGCAATGCTTTACTAAAGATTCTATAACATGCATCAACTAGACCTACATAACGGGTTTCAATGCAATTACGGCATTCGTCGTGTTCAATAATATTCCCATTTTCTGCTTCGCCAACTACTACTGTAGATGCATCGTGTCCTTTATAAATATATTGGTATAAATATTTCACAACTTTAATACTTGAAACAACTTCCACGTTAATGTGACAGTCAAAAATTTCTAATAATTCAGAACAATATGGAACTACCCATCTATTATCTATTTTATGTCCATTAGGACATTCATACTCGACACCAGGATCTCTCCTGCGATATTGTGGATAACCATTTGCATCCATAGTTGTTTCATCTTGAAATTGCTTTGGAAATTTTTTGGAGCATTTACCATCTTTCATACACCAGTCACCACATGGGCCATTAGTCATAGTTCTCATAACAATATCAAATAAACGTGGATTTCTTATTTGAATTGGTAGTTCAGCTGATATGAATTTGTCAACTATGTCAGCCGTAGTAATTTTATATCCCTGTTCTAATGTGATTAATAAATGCATATGTGGTAATCCTCTTTTTTGAAACTCACTGACATAAACATAAGAGGCTACTTTTCCAATAAAACTTTTTTTCACAACAATATCAAGTAAATAATCCTTTTTTAAATCAAAAACTCTAGCTACTAAATCTGGTCTGTCAGCTACTTGTTGTCCTGGTAACAAATTATCTGTTATTTCCGACCAATTTGGATTACACGTCATAGTAAGAAAAATGTCAGGTTTTCCAGTTTCATTTAAAATTGCCATTGCGCCCTGATAACATCGTTGCATATACCGAGGCGAACCATTAAACGATGAAGATAAAATTATAGTTATCCCTACATAACCATTTACATCGTTTGCACAATTCCTCATGTGATCTTGTAAACCTTGATAAGTATCAGCTCGTAATTCTTTTTGATGATTTTTGCAATATTGAATTCTATCTTTATCAATTTTTACGTAACTATCTACTACCCATTGTTAAAACAATCTACGTCCTCTGATAATAGGATTGAAATCATCCTCTCTGATAGCTATTCTGTACCTAGTATAATCTAATCTAGTGATTTTACGTCTATTATCTGTACGAAACATATTTACGTTCCAACCTCGTGTGCCGTATGGGTAATATAAAGGATAAATCCATGGTTCTACATTAGGATCCAGAGAACTTATAAATTCTAATGTTTTTGTGTTTTTATTTCTAATTGTTATGTACAACTCTGGAATTTCTCCGTCAGCATTTGTCGAAAAGATTGCCGCAACTTCATTTACTTGTTGAAAATTATATCTACGACAGTCTTGGCCTGGCTTTAGTGAAAATAATAGATGTAATTCAGGTTGTGATGAATTGCCATGCATTTCTGCTATTAATTGTTGCATACGAATTTCATCTTTCATCATTTCAAATGATTTAGCATAAATGTTGTTATTACGAATTATGTTGTCAAGTATTGTTATTAATTCATAATCTATTACGGGATTTTGTTGCATTCGATAATGCATTGCTTCAAATTGATCGATGATAAAAAGCTGTCCGTATGAAGGTTTTTCATTTTCGTTAGGATATTAAGCTGTATTTATTTGATAATATACTTGACCTTGGATTTTAAAATAGTACGGACCAGATCGTTGTAATTGAAAATTAACTAAATTTGCATTGAACGATGCAAAAGATAAGGAATTATTATAATGACGTATACGATCAAAAAACCTTGACGATTTATCGTGTTTTCCATTAAATAAACTTTTAAGTTCAGATGGGAAATCTGGTAATGGCTCTAACTTTATTGATCCATGACCACAACAATCATTAAAAGATAATCCTTTATTTGAAATTTTTTCTTTTGTAAAATGTTTAGCTTTGCAATGTTGGCATAAAACATTCATAGGCCCTAAGCAATGTTGTTCAATTGCATTTTGTTCTATTGCGCGATTATTATCAATAATATGTTTTCGATTTGCTTGTCGCCTACGGCGTTGACATTCTGCCTGACGTATACGTCTGTTGTTCTGAGAAAGTTCTGCTTTCTTATTCGCGAGTCTTCGACCAACCCATATTTTTAAAATAATAGTGTAGGAAAATTGTCTTATATTCAGTAAGTTATTACTGTACGTGAAAAATAGTTTTCGAATCTATCTAGCTTAAACTAATTGAAATAAATGTGACCTCATACGAATTTATGCTAAGCATACAGTATTTAATGAAAAAATTTGCGTAAAAATACAATTTGGAAATATATATATAATGTATATATACAGGGTGTCAATTAAGTCCCGGGACGCCTGAATATTTTCTGAAGTACTTCAGTTCTGAAAAAGGTCAAGGTCATTCCTTTAGTAACTTTCAACGCAGAATCCGATGGTGACCTTGGATTTGACCTTGAGATTGACCTTCAAGGTTATTTCAAGGTCAACTTTGTTTTTTCAAATAGGAACCCCCATTTTTGACCCCGGATTCGGAAAGAGCGGGAAATTTTACGTCCAAAACGGTATTTTTAAATTTTTTTTCATGGCCTTGAGAAGGTCGATTTAAGGTCAAATGTTTGAAAAACTGCCTAAAAGCGTTTTTTTAATTTTTAAGATATCGAAAAATGACCTCTACAAAATTTGTTCAGAACAGAGTGGGCCACCCAATGCACCAAAAACCTTTGACCTTAAACCTCATTTTGAAGGTCATTTCAAGGTCGAAGTGTTTTTTGTAATGGAAACCCCTCTTTTTGACCCCGGATTCGCACATAGCGCGAAACTCAACACAATACCTTATCCAAACGTCGGATTTCGCGCTATGTGCGAATCCAGGGTCAAAAAGAGGGGTTTCCATTACAAAAAACACTTCGACCTTGAAATGACCTTCAAAATGAGGTTTAAGGTCAAAGGTTTTTGGTGCATTGGGTGGCCCACTCTGTTCTGAACAAATTTTGTAGAGGTCATTTTTCGATATCTTGAAAATTAAAAAAACGCTTTTAGGCAGTTTTTCAAGCATTTGACCTTAAATCGACCTTCTCAAGGCCATGAAAAAAAATTTTAAAATACCGTTTTGGACGTAAAATTTTCCGCTCTTTCCGAATCCGGGGTCAAAAATGGGGGTTCCTATTTGAAAAAACAAAGTTGACATTGAAATAACCTTGAAGGTCAATCTCAAGGTCAAATCCAAGGTCACCATCGGATTCTGCGTTGAAAGTTACTAAAGGAATGACCTTGACCTTTTTCAGAACTGAAGTACTTCAGAAAATATTCAGGCGTCCCGGGACTTAATTGACACCCTGTATATATATATATATATATATATATATTGTAACGGGGGGATAAATCTGCAAAAATGAGAAATTTATTTAAGAACAAACTCCCACGATGCAGAGCAAACCGCCGCTCCGTTAACACGTATGTTAATACGTGTATTCGCCTTAACGTCAGCTGACTTAACTTAGTTGTCTTCGATCAAGCAGAGTTGAACTCACCTTAAGTCACGTGCCTTGTGACACACGATGAGTTTCAAGTGTAAGCGACTTTACTCCAAATCCACTTAATCCCCTAGCTATAATAGAATTAAAACCTAAGCTTTTTCTAATTGTTTAAACTACTAGGAAAAATCATATGACGAAATCGGCGAATAATTTTAATAGATTTTATTAATAAAAATCTCTACAGTCTTTGTCGGGCCGAAAGACTGACGCATGCGAACAGGATTTACAATTAAATAACTTTCGGTGAGAAAGAGAGAGAGAGAAGATACGAAAATTGGCGCGATCTAACGCTCGGCGCAAATACAAAAAAATATCAACGCTAACACGGTTGAACAAAATACTAAATGTATTTTGTCACGCGATAATTAAGGGAGGTGCACCTACCCTGCGGTGCAATTACGGTGATCAGCCGTAATTGTTGATGTTAGAAAAAACGATCAACTGCCTCTGGTCCTGATTTATCAGCTGCGCTGCCTCGTACCGCCTTTCTGCTGCAAATCTGCTGCTTTCGTAACGTCGCAATCTGTTTATCACCTTGATGCACTCGCGCGCGTAATTAATCTGTATAAAATGATTATTCGGCGAGAAAAACTGTGAAAACAAAATTCGGCGATATCCACTCCAATCAACAGCTGAGACGTAACTGCTAATTTAAAAGATCGCGCGCCCCCTCTCTCTCTCAATACTTAGAACTAACGCGCGAAAATCAGAATCGCGAACGGTTCGATTAATTAAATCGACTACCATTGCAATATATATATATATATATATATATATACATATATTGTAATGCGGTACATTACAAGACCTTTCCTGAGCGCTGCATTATTTGCAACACCTCAGAAAGGCCATGCCCGTCCCTTGCCGCCCCGTAACCGGTTGAATAAAATAAAAACAAATGCGCCCTATGTAAAACAATTACCCCTTTTTATGTCCGAACAACCACACTGGAGATATTGGCAAAACAAACTCGACAAACGCGATCCGACGGATACTCAAAGAGAAGAGAGGAAAAAAAAGGAGAGCACCACGGAAAAAGAGAGCGCACGCACACACTCACTCCCGACCACGTGGCCGTCCGGCAAAAGAAAATGGAAAAACATGACTGGGAAATGCAACGGAAATGCATGTTGATGACACATGCAGATCCGTTACACTCCCAGCCACCAACACCAACACTCACAAAGCACTGACACTCCTGGGGCGAGCAGAAAATCGGCGATGAAGTGGCAGCCGGCAATCAGCTGTGTCGGGCTGCCGAACACCATCGGCGACATCCTGAGCGTCACACACAAGCACAACAGCGACCACACAAACACCCGGGAACACGTCACTCAACCGACACGGGAGCGCCCCAGGAGGCGCTCCAACAACCGATACAGGAACACGAGGCGTACGCGCGAGAGACCGAGCGGCCATTTTGAAATGCCGAGACAGACTGAGAGTGAGTGAAGTAGACTAGATAAAAGCGAGCGAGACAGACTGAGACAGAGCGAGCGAAATAGACTAATCAAGAGCGAGCGAGACAGATGATATGAAATGATGAATAGAATAATATGCAAATGCGAGGATGAGGGCGTTACAATTGAAACGACGTATATTATATACGTATTCATGACGAATTAAAATTAAAATTAAAATTATAATTGAAAAAGAATGAATATGGAATAGATACTGAATTGTAAAATTTGCATGCGACTGACACCCCTATTATGATAGCGAGCGACAACTACCCCGTTAGGTTTAAGCAATAAATTAACCGACAGAATTCGAACCTCTGACGAAATTCGCTAGTGACGTCACGACCAATCAGCGAATTAGAATAAAATTTGATTTCCGTCCGGATAGAAAAATAGATAAGAGTAGGGGTAGAACTTTTCCGACAATTAATGATAGTTACCTTAGTGGGGGATGAGAGAAGGTAAATAACGACGAAAGTAGGAGAGTTAAGGAGGGCGCTGTATCCTTCTAATTTACATACGGACCAATGATAAAATATTCGGAGGGCGCTACCGATATCCGAATTAGCATACCGACAAAAAATAACATTTCTTCTCGGAAAGAGGAGAAGAAAAGCGATCTTTGATCGCGAAAAGCCGATTCTCGTCCATTTTGCCACCGATCTTCTAGCTAGAAGGAGTGATTGAGCCAGATAATTTCGTCACACAGGACTAATTACATGGACATTCTGTACTAGCTAATTTTGTTCGCCGAAACAGTAAGGAAGAATCGTAAGTAGGTAAAGTGCCACTTACTTATATTAATCGCGGAGTGCGGGAGTGAAATTCTCAGTGTCGT